CACATGCAAGGCAAGTGTTCTACCACTGAGCTACAACCCCAGCCCCTCTTTCCACATTTTTTATTGATGCATTATAGTTGTACATAATGATGGAATTTGTTACATATTCATTCGTACATGCACTCAATATAACATTATAATTTGGCCAACATCACTTCCTAGGACTTCCTCCCTCCCTCCTCTCCTCTCCCCCTGGGGTCCCTTTCCACTTCTGATCTCCCTCTGATTTTCATGAGATCCCTGCCTCCACATCTTTACTTTTTCCTCTCCAGCTTCCACATGAGAGAAACATTACCCTTGACTTTCTGAGACTGACTTATTTCACTTAACGTAATGGTCTCAAGTTCCATCCATTTATAGTGTTTTTTTTTTTTTAAGAGATCCAGTAACCTAATGTAAGACAGAAAATATTCTTATTTTCATAGCTTCTTCACTCCTACGTGCTTCTAAAAATATTACAGTTCATCATAGGGAAGATTTGTAGAATTATACTGAACAGAATATGTAACAAATTTCCTTTAACCTAATTCTGGTATGTGTTTTTATTACCTGAAGTTTTATGGTTATGGGCTGTGTATTAAGACAAATTATCACCATCGAAAACAAGGTTTTAATATTAAAAACCTTTTAGATTTGCATTGTTCATTACAGTAGACAATAGCCATTGTGGTTATTGAAATTTTAAGTGGCATTGGATACTGCCATTTTAGATCACTATTTCTCAGCATATGATCCTAATCAATGGGGTTTTTGGTAAATTTCTGGATTCAGCTCCGTATCTATTCAGTGAAAACCTCTGAGTAAAGCAATACATCTATATTTTTAACTAACATAGTGAAATTTGAGAACTTCCACATATTATGCATGAAAATATTTTTATGAGGTATCATTTGCAAATAATAGATGGTAATATTAACTAAAACTAAATAAAAACTGTGGAATGCAGCTGCATTGGTAGAGAAAAATTCCAGCTTAAAATGCTTATATTAGAAAAGGATTATTAAATGAATTTTCTGGTATGATTGTTTAAAGTTGCATGAAGATATAATCTGTTGATTAAAAAGGGACTATAAGTACAAACAGAAAAATAAAAAATTATAGGACAACGTATAAGTACATTTGAAAGCTTTAGTGAAATGGAATTTTTTTGATAGCACCATCTACTAAAAAAAATAATAAAACCTAAGATCAGATAATTTTATCACACTTTCAAGAAACAGATAACTCAAATCTTATATGTTTCAAAGAGTAGAAAAAGAATTGTCATAACTGCTACTGTAAGTCTATTTGGGAAGATAGGGCCTTAATACCAAAACAAATAATATAGTAGTCCTCCGTTACCCACCATCTTGCTTCCTTCAGCTGCAGTTTACCCATAATCAAGCACAGTCCAAAAATACTAAATACAAAATTCCAAAAATAAATAGTTTGTAAGTTTTAAATTATACAATGTTCTGAGTAGCCCAAAATTATCCTTGTGCAGCATATCTGTACTACATATGTTACCTATTTGGAGGGGTCCTTTCTAAGAAATATTTGCTTAGCCCAAGAATGTCTTATAGAAATGATTTAATTTTAAGTTTTATATTAGGTCTGTGATCCATTTCAAATAAATTATTTATATGGTATAAAGTATGAATTAAAAGAATTTTCTTTTGACTTCAGCACTATTTGTTAAGAAGACTGTTTCCCAAACTAGTTGGATTATGTTGATACCTTTGTCAAAAATGAATTGAGTTGTATTTTGGACTCTGTTCTGTTCAGTCCTCATATGTCTATTTTGTTTTGTTTTGTTTTTATCAGTACCACATAGTCTTGACTACTGTGGTTTAATAGTATTTGTTTGTTTTGGTACTGGACACATTGAGTCCAGGACCTCATACATTAAGCACAAAATCTACCATTGAATTATACATACCCTCGTCCGTACTAAGCCTTGAACTCAAGTAATGCAAGTCTGCCAAGTTTTTTCTTTTTCAAAATTGTTTTGGCTATTATAGGTCCTTTATTTTGTCATATAAACTTTAGAATCATCATTGTCAATCATCTCTACCCACAAAGGGCTAAGTTAAGATTCCATTTATGTGATATTCTGGAAAAGGCAAAAATTACAAAAACAAAAATCAGTGGCTGCTGGGGGTAGGGAAAAATAACAAAAGGACACAAACTTCTGGGGTCATGGAAATTCATGGTGGTGGTTATATGACGTATGCATTTATTTTGAACTACATAGCTAAAAGAGTATATTTTAATGTAAATAAGTGATACCTAAATAAATCTGGCTTTAAAAAACAATAGAACAAGATTAGGCTCGATATTGCACTAGGCTAGAACTCCCCATGAATAAGCAAGTGCACCCATTAAATAAAAATCTGCTGTAATGTTTATTTTTGAATGATAGTTTTTTCTGCATTATATTTATATATTAATAAAATTATATCAGTGTTACATATAGGAAAGTTTTTTGGTAGATTTTTATTTCAACTATATAAATAAAAGTGTTTTGAATTGTGATGTGAAACATCACAACTGTGGGTCATAGTAGAAGTATTTTGAAAAGTACTACTGTAGAAAAACTTTTATCCTGTATGAAAAAGAAAACAGCAGTTTCAGTGCTTCATTGTTTGAAATATTGAAAAATTAGTAGCAGGCTAGGTGCGGTGGTGCATACCTGAAATCCCAGCAGCTTAGGTGGCCAAGGCAGGCAGATCTCGAGTTCAAAGCCAGCATCTACAATTTCGTGAGGCCCTAAGCAGCTTAGCAAGACCTTGTCTCAAAATACAAAAAATGCTGGGGATGTTGCTCAGTGTTTAAGTACCCCTGGGTACTTAATCCCCAATACAAAAAAAAATAGTAGCAGGATAAATTATATACCAGGATTCCTATATGCCAATTAAAATTTAAAAATTAGAGATACAGCATAATTCAAAAGTACAACATAAACAAAAAAAGGAAACTGAAGCAAGATTATTCACAGTATTGTATAAAAATTGTATATGAAAACCGGTCATGTATTTTTAAGTGATACAGACATTAGGAAGCTAACCATGCAAGTCTGGATAATAACTACCTCTTGAATAAAAGGGAATTCAACCATATCTAGTGTTTTTATTTAAATATGAGAAAATGTTTTATTTTGATAAAGATAAATGTGGATTTAAAGGGTGTGTTATCTACATACTTTGTATTTGAATGTCATCAGTAACCTACCTAGAAGTGAAATCCATCAGTGGTAGTATGTTCCACCTGCAAGCTTAGAGGTGAAGGCAAAAGAGAAGGTTAAAGGGAAGGAGGTAGACAGAGAAGTTCTTTAAAGGAAAAAGCAGGGGCTGGGGGTGGTTGGATGAAGAGAGGTCAAAATAGGAGACAAGAGCAGTGGGTACATGTGATACATTAATATGCTTATTCTGTGGGACTGCAGTGGTTGAAGAAAATCCAGCTATAATACTGTATAAGTCATGTTTTCTATAAAAAGGTTAAGGAAACTTTGTGTTGATGGAAATTTAGAAGTGTATTTAAAATAATTTTTAAATTACACCACTAAAAACAGGTTTGTGGCTTTTAAAAAGACAGAATAATTAAGGTGGGAATATGGCTCAATAAGTGGTAGACTACTTGCCTAGAATCAGTGAGGCCCCAGGTTTGATCCCCAGTACTGGGGGGAAAACAAATAGGATAATTAAGTAAAAAGCAGTAATCAAAATTCCATCAAACATTGTTGATATTATAGCTATATGCCCTTCTAGACTCTCTGCTGGCACATCTATAACATTTTGAAAAATAAAAATGAAGTCATACTCTAGGAATTATACTGCTGTATAACCTTTTCCTCATTTACCAATATGTACTGAAGAACAGTGCTTTTTATTGGCTGTGTAGTTATCCATTACGTAAATGTACCAGAACTTACCATTCTGCTGTGAAATGTTTTCATGAATTTCAATTTTCACTATTTAAACATTATTTTTTTTAAAAAGCCATCTCTGCAGTAAAATCATTAGAACATACATCTTTAATTATTTCCCCAAGATAAATTTGTAGATGTTAAATGAAATAATAGGCATATTTCTGAGGATTTGAATTTTTTTAGTTCTTCCCTAGAACTCTACTTTTCTTAGCAGTGTACACACGGGCAAATGAAAAGAACAGATTTAGATGAAAAGGAAATGTGACAGTTACTAATGTTACCAATTGTGTAATGTAAGTAAGTGTGATAGATTTTATCTGGAGGATTATAAGTAAAATTTTATATATGCTTGGCTCAAAATAAGTTCATTTAAAAATATTTTTTCAAGTGGTCCATTTCATTTTTATAGTTAGGGTAACTGGGTTGCTCTTTTACCTAAGATATTTTCCAGTATAAAGAGTACTTAGAAACTTAATAATGCCAGTGGATTTTCATTCTTTTTCTTCTTCATCCCCTTCTTTTAAAAATAAAGACTTTGTTAATATCCTCCTTTAGTACTGTATCTGGAAATGATCTTGAAATGCAAACTTCTCAGATATGAGACAACATAACCCTAAGCTGCCAAATTATATTTGTTTTTTTTTTTTTTTTTAAAAAGTGTCCATCAATAGGAGAGAAAACAAATCATCTTGATCTGTAGCAAGGATATAAATTGAAGAGCCCAGGGTTGAATATTTAGGATAGAGTCATCATGGAATGGTTTGTATGGGAAGAGAAATGTTTCAAACCATGTAAAATTAGCATCAGATAATTTTCTCATTGGATAAAAATTAGAGCTCTCAAAAGTAGGAGCTAGCCAAAGGCAGCCGCAATGATAATGAGCATAGAGCCCTATGTATATTTTTGTTTCAACTGTTAATCATATAACATAATCAGCTGTGGTATAAAAGTGTTAAACATTAAATTATCTTGAAAAGCAAGGATCATGTTTCATTAATTTTTGTTTCTCCCACTCTTGAGTACATGTTTAGTAATAGGAAACTGGTAAGTATTGAATCAAATTACTAATTCTTCTATTAATTCTTCCTAACAGACTGGATTATGGACAGAACTTGGAAAGATTGAGAATAATTTCTTAAAGCCACTTCATACAGGACTTAATATGTCAAAAGCACATTATGAAGCAGAAATTAAAAATAGCCAAGAAAACAGCCAAGGTTAGTAATATGCAATTTTATTTTCATTAAGTTTCTCAAATTCTGGAACTACCAAACTCAAAAAGAACACTTATGCCAAACAAGGGACCACAACAGCTGTGATTCTATTTTTAATTAAAATGATTCTTGGTTGATCTATAAGCCAATTACTATTGAAATTGGGTTAGTGAAAATTTAAACCAAGTTGAAGCATATTTTGTTTTAAAGCTCAAGTTCAGATTTAGTGTGGTTGTACTGCAAGTATTACCCTTTGAGTGCTATCATACTTTATTCTGTATTGCTAGGTCAGTTCCCCCATCTCACTCCTGAGTAAATCTGAACAAATTATGAGAAAGAATCTTAGATCCAAAATTACTTTGTCAGAAATTCTGCTATAATAATCTTGTGATCTCTTCCATATATCTATGGTGATATTTTTAGAGGCATTACTAGAAATTTTCTTTTTCAGATTTATAATGACTATAATTCAGATTATACTCTAAAGAAAAGTTCATCCTATACATGACAAAATAATGTTTATCTAAAGCATTAATTCACATGTTACAGAATTGATACTTTTATTTGCTTATAATTCAATATAAATATTCTTAGAGCTGATGTTAAGATTCAATAATTTACACAAATAACTTGCACATTTTTTAATGATGAAGGTAGCTTATAAATGTATTATTAAAATCTGAGAGTTGTTTTACTTATTTATTTTGTGGGGGGTACTGAGGATTGAACCCAGGCCCAGGGATGCTTTACCACTGAGCTACATCCCCTGCCCTTTTTATTTTAATTTTGAGACAGGGCCTTACAAAGTTGCTGAGGCTGGCCTGAAATTTGCAATCCTCCTGCCTCAGCCTCTTGAGTTGCTGAGAATACAGGCGTGCACCATTGCACCTAGCTCTTGAAAGTTATTTTAATGGCTAAGTATGACATGATTTTTTTTTTTCTTTCTCTTACAGCAGTCCAGAAGTCTAAGGATCTTTGTTCTGTAACTGTCGGTGGAGAAGAGATCCCTAATATGCCCCCTGAAATGCAACTTAAGGTGATTTGAAAATTTTTAAAGCTATATCAAGATGAAATCTTTTGTTTTGTTGTAAAGGCAGCATGAGCAACACTAATTTTCTTGGCATTACAGGTCCTACATTCAGCTCTTTTCACGTTTGATTTGATTGAAAGTGTTCTGGCTCGAGTAGAAGAACTCATTGAAATAAAAACAAAGTCTACCTCTGAAGAAAATGTTGGGATAAAGTAAAAGTGTTACTTTCTAAATAAAAACTAATAAAGTACATATGCTTTATTTAATACCTTTTATAAAAACAGTTTTACTAGAAAAAATACTAGCTTTTCTCAGTTGTCTGTTTCTATAATGACACATTATAGATTAGTATTCTTTGGTTTTAAAAAATTAAAATATTGCTTTTGAAAATCCAATACAAACTAATAATTTTGTACATTTCATAAAATGTTAAAATGCTTTATTCATTTATGTAGGGAGTTTGTAAAAACAGATTCACTTTCTGCCTAGTAGGTGTCTGTAACATTTAGAACTCCTAGTGTCGAGTTGGATACCATACCACTGTAAAAGTGTAGTAAGAAATTTTGAGTTCAGAACATTTGATTGTTTCTCTTAATTTCCCTCTTTCCGGGCTCAAAAGCAGTCTTAAGGAAGAGTTCCGTCACCAACTCTCTAGCAGTTACAGTGTGAAAGTACCTGCAAAGATTAATTTTAGAATAACAGTTGCCCTTGTGGAAAACCTAAAAAATATACACAAATCTTCCTTTAGTCCAAGGAGCTAATTAGAAAAACATATTTTTTCCTACATGTTTGCACATACAGCTTAATTTGTATTATTAAGAAATTGCATGGGTTTTGTTTTTGTTTTGTAGTTCAACCCAAGGCCTTGTACATGGTAGGAAAGTGCTCTACCACTGACCCAGCCCCATAAGTTTTATAAGTATGTACCAATGACTTTCTATACATTAATTAAAGGAATCATTCAACAAAACTCCTAAAGTAAAATTACTTTTAATTGTATACATGTTATTATTTTAAATCAATATAAACATCTTTAAAGAATATATTTCAACATTAGAATTTAACAGGTAAAATTTTTGTGATAGTCTTCCAAAATGATGCTTACAATTGGTACTTTAATTCGGGTTAATTGCATCTCCACCCAGTTTTATCTTTTGAAGCATTTTCCAAACAGGACTTTGTTCTATGATGTAAGCTTTAGTTGTTATCATTCTATAGCAGATGCTATCTATGTATGGTTTGGAGGTAGTCTGGAAGAAGATATAAACATGCAGCATTACTTACAGAAGCCCAGCTATCTTTTTCAGTCACATAAAAAAATACCTAAATGTAATTCATTCAGCAAGTATCTCTGAATCACCTATAATTTAAAAAATACATGTGTTATTAGAGTAATACGAAAAACACCTGACTTCCATCTTCAGCAAATTTCAAATATAGCTGAAAAGCAGAATAGGATAGGGGATACATTCTAAATTTAAGACTAAGGAAGACCTGGGCTGGGGCTGGAGCTCAGTGGTAGTGCACTTGCCTGGCATGTGAAGGCACTGGGTTTGATTCTCAGCACTACATATAAATAAAATAAAGACCTATCAACAACTAAAAAAATATATTTAAAAGAAAAAAAAAGGAAGACCTAACTTTGCCTAAGGGAGTTCTGTGTATCTGGGTACACATACGAAAAGAAAGTGGGCAACTATGGAGAACATTCCATAAAACAATGTTTGTATTCAATTCATGACTGCAATCTAGGCAGTATATATATTTCAAAGTTTGAAGGAAGATGATACATATACAGCTAAATGTTCTTTTGGTCCAAACATTCACAAATGGATAGTAGCTACCACAAAAGATGAGGAGAAGCTGAGTTCAGGCTTGGGAAAGAGCTTTAAGCATGAAATAGCAAATTCTCTGAGTAAACAGAAGCTGAGTAGTTGTCAATCCTGCTTAAAAGGGCATGTAATTTGAAGTTAAAAACCTAAAAGTATACTAGTATTTGTATGTAAACATGTCTTCTTTCCCATGTGACTTACCTTGGCAATAGTGCACATAAGACTAATAGCATTTGCTGTGTTGTGTACTGGAAGTATCCGTAAGTTACTTCCCAGGAATCTGAAAAAAAAAAAAAAATTGGTACTTTACAGAGATCATAACTTACTGGCATTTGCTCCCTTAAACAGGTGTAAAGAGGACATGAATCTCAATTGTAAAGTGTTTATTCATTATGTGTTTATTTCCAACTAATGCCACGGGATTTGAAGTGGCAATATACCCAGAATTTAACTTAATTTAAAAAGGGCTCACTTTTGGTTTAGTCTTGCAGAAGAAGCCCAGAAGTCCTTCCCAAAGCCCATAAGTCTTTCCCAAAAAGAGCCCATAAAGTTTATCTGGTAGCAAAACAAAACTCAGGCCTCCCTTTAAGAATTGCTAACTGAAGTAAACAATACCGTGTAAAAAAGAAAAAGGAAAAAAAGCAAAAAAAAAAAAAAAACCCGGTAGTGCTGTTTTTCATACCTCTGCTGAATCCTGAACATCAGTTTCCATTCTTCAGGCCCATGGAGGGCAGCAAACAAAACCAAAAAACTATTTTTGTGAATATTAATAAACTTCTCAATTTTGTTTATAAATATTTCTTCAGCTGACATAATGCATTCTTTAGCGTCCATTAATAAAAATGCAACTCCTAGGAAAGGTAAAAGTCAATTTGTCATATAGAGCAAAATTTGTAAACTCAACAAAATCAAAAATAGCTATAACAAAATATCCAGACCCTAAACTCATAAGGAGTAGAAATTATAACAATTCTTTTTTTTTTATAACAATTCTTAACAAAAATGATTTAGGTAGTTCTTTGAAGTACTCTAGTAAAATAATAATTTGCATAGTAGTGTTTTCCAGATAAGGCACTATCCATATGAGGGTAATGCCTAATTTTAGTTAAAAGCTTGACTGTATTTTAAAAGTTAATCCTTTATGTTACTTAAAAAAAACTTTTTTTAAATGGCTTATTAGAAAGTACATTCCAAAAGATACAGGTAAGCAGCCAGATGGAAAAGACACACAACAAAGTGTCTCAGATGAGGTCTCATGGAATTTCACTGTCCTCTCTGGGCCCACCACTTTCCAGGCACCTTCATGTGTTCGGCAATTCAGAATCTCTTCTGACTTTTATTTAATTATTTATTTATTTTTAAGATTTTTTTTTTTTAAGTTGTTGATAGACTTCTACTTTATTTATTTCTATGCAGTGCTGAGAATCGAACCTAGTACCTCACACATGCCAGGCAAGTATGCCACCTCTGAGCCACAACCCCAGCCCTCCCTGTGACTTTTAAAAGCTAGAAATCAACTAAAGAAAGGGTAGTCTTAAGCAAATATTCAATCATTTCTTGTTGGAGAAACCTTTCTACCAGAGCTTAAGTACTTATATAAATTAATATACTCAACAGATATCTTGGATCTCTGAAATAGTATGAGGCACATAAGAATAATCCTAGGGGGATAACTTGATTGAATTATTGTTCTTTAAAAGATGTGGTAACGACAATCTGTGGAAATGACTTCATGATTATATAAAAACTGGATGAGCTTGAGCAAACTTATATAACCTCTGAATATATATTTCCTCCTCTGTAACATCAGAATAATAACCCTTTGTTAGTCCTGTCAAAAGGATTAAATAATGTATACAAAGGGCAAGAACATATAGTATGTCACCAAAAACACTTTACTTCTACCTGGAGGAGACTATTCAATCAGGAGAAATGAATTTGAGACTCGAACACTTTCAGCCTGGAGGTCTTATTTTTAAGAGCTTTTGAAAGCACCAGTTTTCCAAAACCTCTGCTATAGTAAAGGTCTGTTTACAGCCTTCTTGATAAAATCCTTTATCTCCATCTCTTTAATCACTTCTGTTATTTCTCAAGCACAGGTGAAGCTGCCCCTTCCCATCTCTCCAACCTTTTATCCTAATTCCTGTACTTTGCCCATGACTCATGGTTGTACAGTTTTAAGATTTCAGGAATATTTATTTGTCCCCATACAATTCTTTAATATTTACTTATAACCTATTGAGTAAATTCTCATACAAAATCATGACAAAATATCTCATTTTGGTTTTGCATTCAGATTTTGACCATTGATGCATGTCGGCCTCTTGTCAATACAGTTCATACTTTAATATTATCGATTGATTATTGGGAGAGTAGCATTTCTATTTTCATCTTAGTTCCAAGGTGAGTATTTTTTCCCATCCTCCATCAGACTCTCTTCGTTCTTTTTTTTTTTAAAGAGAGAGGAGAAAGAGAGAATTTTTTTAATATTTATTTTTTATTTTTCAGTTTTCGGTGGACACAACATCTTTATTTTATTTTTATGTGGTGCTGAGAATCAAACCCAGCGCCCTGCGCATGCCAAGCGAGCGCGTTACCGCTTGAGCCACATACATCCCCAGCCCTCTTGGTTCTTTTTTTAAAAAAATATTTCTTTAGTTATAGGTAGACACAATGCCTTTATTTTAATTTTTATGTGGTGCTGACGATCAAACCCAATGCCTCACCCACACTAGGTGAGCACTCTACCACTGAGCCACCACCCCAGCCCCCTTGCTTCAGTTTTAACAACTGTAACCTAAAAAGGAATGTATTCTGTAATTGACCATCTGTGCTTCTTTGCAGCAACAACAGTTTAACACATTCACCTCTCCCTAAAGGTAATATGTTAACTATCACATGACTACTGACTTGCAAAAATTATTAGAATTTATATCAAGGCAGTTAGCAAATATACTATACCAGAAAGAGAAAATATGATTGATCCATTTTCCACTGTATCTGAATACCGAATCTTGTGGCTTTGATTTTCTAGGGCAGTTGCAATTTCATAGGTCTTTAAAAGAATTTTTAGAAATACAAACTTAAAGATATGCTTACAATACTTTTATTATAGTTAATGAAAAAAAATTTAAAGTTTAATACTTTATTTTATAATGTCACTTGTAAAGATTTGTTCATCAAAAGAGAAAATCTGTTCTCTATGGAGAAAAACACTTTTAAGAACAGAAATATTTAATCCTACTTAAACAATGATTGTATGTTTGGAAATGAGTTAATGTACTATAGATACGTTTGTTATTTGGGAGCAGAAATTAACAACAATATTGAAGAACTAACCCATGACAATCACAGAAATGAAAACTTAAAAAAAGGCTACTTGGAAATGAATTATGACATGTATTAATGTATAACTCTGGAAAATGGATGATAATGTATTTCTTAAATGGTTGACAAAACCACAAAATACCAGAAACATAGATGACCGCACAGGAGACAACCAATTCTCCAATTCATCAGTTTGTGTTAGTTATTTTAATGTACTCTTTAAGAAGGCGAGTCAGAAAACATATGAAGACAGCATTACTATCTTCTGGCTTAAATACTATTTCAAAATTACCTCAATTCAGGACTGGGGCTGTAGTTCAGTGGCAGAGCACTTGCCTTGCACACGTGTGGCACTGGGTTTGATCCTCAGTGTCACATTAAAAATAAATAAAATAAAGGCATGCTATCCATCTACAACCACACACACACACACAAAAAAAAAACTTTATCATTAAAAAAAAAAAGTTACCTCATTCCCATTCTACCAAGAAATTAGATCATGTTAACCAAAATAACTAAAATCCTAGCAGTTAGGGCTGGGGTTGTAGCTCAGTGGTAGATTGCTTGCCCAGCACGTGTGAGGCATGGGGTTCAATCCTCAGCACCACATAAAAATAAATAAAATAAAGGTACTGTGTCCATCTACAAAATATATATATATTTATATAAATATATATATTCATTTATTTATTTTAAAATCCTAGTGGTTAATAGTGTTTCCTAACTGGTTAAAACTCAAGCTTGTGAGTCTCCAAATGGATAAAAATATCTTAGATTAATTTTACATTTTCCTTCAGAACATGTATATTTTAAGCACACAGTCTAAAATTAAGTATAAAATATATGCTTCTCTTCCTTCCTAAGAGAGTATTTTTTGTGCTACTTATATCCTGACCTACAGTTCAACTATGGCCCTTTCTTCTGAGGTTTTAAAACTGTACATTGCTTTCAGCAATGGCAGATTAAGTAATTTAGGTCAACTCTCCTGCTGAAGGCAACTTGAAAAACTGGACAATTAAAAAAATCTGCTTGAATGCATCAGAGAGCTAGCAGGATAGTTAAAACCTATAAGGTGAAGTTCTATACAAAAATTCAAAGATATAACCCTAGCATTTAGGCCACATCTTCCCTGAGGGCATCTGACAATTCAGAAAGAGGCAGAAGAAAAGCTAAATGAAGTTTTTGACAAAAGTAGAGCATCTCTCACTGGGAATGAAGCCTAACTTCAAACCATTTCAATCCCAGAAATTATATTAAGATGATACTGAATTACTAGTACTCCCAAGTACCTTCCAGAAGCATTCCCTAGAGCAACATTTCTCAATCAGTCTTCTCTATCAGTTTTCTCTTTCTTCTTTATAGAACAAAGAAAACTATTTGAGTGACTATTTTTTTTTAATTCTCCCATAACTAATGCCATTCTACATGCATAGGAGATAAAGTTAATTCATCATATACAATAAGCAACTGATGGCTAGGGTTGCCAGATTTAGCAAATAAAAATGCAAAATATTGGGCTGGGGATGTGGCTCAAGTGGTAGAGCGCTCGCCTGGCATGCGTGCAATCCGGGTTTGATCCTCAGCGCCACATACAAAGAAAGATGTTGTGTCCACTGAGAACTAAAAAATAAATATTAAAAAAAATTCTCTTTCTCTCTTAAAAAAAATGCAAAACATCCAGTTAAATTTGAATTATAAATAATTATGTAATTTTTAGTGTAGATATAACTCATGCAATATTTCAGACAAACCTACATTAAATGCATTACTCATCTGAAATTCAAATTCTGTTTAACCTGGCAAATAGGGAATTAGTGGTTCATTCTCTCACAGAATTAAGACTTCTCTAGAGAAATCCAATATTACTTTAGGCCTCCAATTGCTTCTACAATCTTTCAAATAAAAATTCCAACACAATAAAAAATAATCAGACAGGTCTGGGGCTGTAGCTCAGTGGTAAAGCACTTGCCTCACTGGGTTTGATCCTCAGCACCACATAAAATGAATAAAATAAAATAAAGATATTGTGTCCATTTACAGATAAGATTTTTTAAAAAAATTTTAAAGGTGAGAAGAGCATAGATAGAATAACAGGAAAAGGAATGAAGACTTGAAAGTATGATTCTTAACTGATGAGTATGAAAGGTACACATGAATCAGTTATTGGCAACAGTGTTAAGAATAACTTCAGGCAGATTATGAGGACCCCATATATGCTATGCTGAAGAATTTGAATCATATCTTACTGGGGGGCCAACTAAAAGTGATAATAAAAAGGAAATAAGAAAGGTAAAATTAAGAAGTAATGAATTGAGAGAAATAAGTTTAAGAGCTGATATATTGGGCTGGGCATGTAACTCAGTGGTAGAACATTTGCCTAGCATGTGCTAGACTCCAGTTTCAAGCCCATTACTGGAAAAAAAAATACAGTAGATTCTTCAAAATAAATGGGAAGTTAAGATTAGATTTTCTAAAATATGTTTCACAGATTATTAATCCCATGAAATAGTCCCAAAAAATATTCCTTAGTCATAAAATTAACACGAAATATTATTTTGTCTCCTTTGGGGGGGTTTCACAATACGTTTAAACATATTAAAGCCTCTGAAGAGGAGTACAGAAAAAAAAAAAAAACCTTGTTCAACTTTGTTTATACCAGTATTCCAAATAAAATCCGTACAATAATCCTTCCTGAATATATAATATCTATTAATGTGTTGAGAGCCACAGCCGAAGGGGCCCCAGCAAACTTCCAGCTGCCAGCTGACGATTGGCTCACAGCGGCCCCAGCAAACTTCTAGCTACCAACTGATTGGCTCCTCTGGGGTGATGCTCATTGGGCTGTTTCCCTGCCCTTTCAGACCACAGAGCTGCTCATTGGGGGACTTTTTTGGCTCCGCCCACGCAACCCAGCCAATAGGCTTCAAAAGCAGGAGGAATGGGGGAGGTTGAGAGGCTTGTGGGAAGTCGGTGGTGGCAGTTGGGCTCTGAGGGAATTCCTGAAGAGCTGTGTGGTGCGTGTGTTTTAAAAATAAAGTTCGTTTCTTTTGACAAGTGGCTCCTGAATTGTGCCCAGCCAGACTGCGGCATTAATGTCCTTTAAAACTAGTATTAGGAGCTGGGGCTATAGCTGAGAGAGTGCTTGCCTAGCACAGGTGAGGCACTGGGTTCCATACTCAGCACCACATTAAAAAAAAAAAAGTAAATAAAATTATTTAAAAAATATATTTTAAAAAACTAGTATTACATCTAGAAAATCTACTCATATGAAAGTAAATATAAATTTAAACAGATACGAAAAAGGGCACTTAATAACTAGTAGTTCACAATAGAATTAAAAGAAGGCCAATATGAAAATTTCACAGAAATGGCAAATTTCATTATTAAGTTCAGCTTAATAAATTTAACAGCTCTTATTAAATGAGTATTTGTAAAATTATAACTTATATACTCAGAATAAAGTATAAAAACCTAGTAGAGGAAAAACCCACATTTTTTAAAAGATTATGAACACAGAAATTGAGTAAGAACCCAATTCCTCCTCCCCCCTTTTTTTAACATTGGGAATCCAACACAGGACCTTGTTTGTGATAGGTCAGTGGTCTATCACTGAATTATATCCATAGCCCAGGAAAATCCTTTAATAACTTCAAGTACAAATAATTTCCAAACTACATAAACTGTTAGGCACACAAGGAATTTGGAATAGCAGTGAGGAGGAAAACTATCCTAATTCCTATGAAAATAACATTAAAAAGAAAACTATAGATCATCAATCTTTGGTAAATAATGATAAAAAAAATAGCAAACCAAATTTCAAAAGAATAGAAGAAAAATCCACAATTACCAGGTACTTTAATTAAGAAATGCAAAGATAGTTATTTAGGTTCTTATCAACAGATAACACTAAGCATGTATTTTAAAAATAATGCACTTATTTCTGATTAAGAGGAAAGACAGCATAAATTAAGCTGAGATGAATATTTTTTGACAATTGGTAACATCATGTATAATAAAACACTGGAGATATTCCCATTAAAATGAGAAATTGTTTTGGTTGCTCTGGTCACAGCAAAAATAAAAATAAGAGATAGCTATCAGAAATTCTCATTAATTACAAATTTTCACTAACTACCTTGAAAACCCAACAGAATCAGCTAATAACATATTATGAAAAGTCAGTGCAGAGATTAAATATAAAACAGATTACCACAAATTAAATTTTCCCCATATATGTAGATTGAAAACATTGGTGGAAGACAGTATATTGGACTTTATAATATTAACAAAACTTCAATATTCTAGGTACTTAATAAGAAACAGGAACAATCTAAAAACAGAAATTAAGACTTTCTTTGATGGGCTTATTAGTAGAGTGAACGTGAATAGGAAAAAAATCAATAGGAACCCCCAAAACTGAAAAGCAAAGAGATCAAAAAGCAGCTGAGGGTAGGGGGCATATCCAGGGACTAACTATAAAAAGTGTAACATGCATATGGGACTATCAGAAAGAGAAAAATAAAGTGAAAGGCACTAAAAAAAATGAAGCAATAACTGATAATTTCCTCAAATTAATGTCAGACACCAAATCATATAATCATATATCCAGGAAGCTCAAGGAACATTAAGCAAGAAAAATTCCAAAAAGGTATACTTAGGCACATCATATACTTAGGCACAACTGTTGAAAAAATTCTGGAAAGAAACCAGCTGACTGTAAGAGGAGCA